CCCTATCAATACTCACAAATCACTTGTATTAAAAAAAAATCCAACTACCCATACACCCAAATGTTCGTGAGTCTTCGGTACGGGTTCACACGTGTATCACAATTGACAAGTGACAACACTGTCAGGTCGGGTCATGGAGTAGCGGTGAAAACACGTTATTGGTACCAAAATTTAGTCGCGTTCACTTGATGACTTTACACTCACATTTCTTCGGTCAATTATTCCGGCCATTTTGCCATTATATCCATGGTTCGTACGTATATTTAAGAGTCAAGGTGGTGCAAAAAGTGAAGTCAACTCATTGGGTGTGGCAAAGAGAAAAAGGCCAAAAGAGCACGACCATGATTTATATTTTCAACCACTTGGATCAAATAAGTCATAAATAAAAATGAAACATTTAAAGAGAATTGAACTACCATTAGAAAAGTCAAATAAAAATATAGTCCACTTCAATTTGCTCTGAAAAAAAAAAAAAAAAGGTTAAACCCTAACCTTAAGGGTCCCCCACGACTCCTGCCCTGGAGCATCGTGAGGGAGGTAAATCCCTGGTTATGCCTTCAAGGATACAGGATGGAAGGCTGCTTGTACACTTGCACTTACCCAAGAGCTAAATTCATATTTCAGGATTCGAACCCTTGACGCAGCAACCTCAAGTAAAGTTGGATTTCTCCACCCTCCCCTTTTACCACTTGGAAATGTGCCCTGGGGGCCACTTCAATTTGCTCTGGTTCATAGGTTTGCTTGTCTTAATGAAAGTACGTTTGAGTTTGAGTTTGAGAAAATTAGAGTACACCATATTTTTACATTTTCCTCAAATTAGGTTATCCAATTGTTTGTTCACAAATTGGCTATCCATTCAATAAATATTAAGTGTACTTCTCTCTTAAATTAAGGAAACAAATTTAGATTGGACAAAAAAAATTCGAAAAATTGACCATACCAATTAAACATAACCGAATCAGGCTGGTTCAGGTCGATTAACACGAATAATTGGTTTTGTTTGGTTTTCTTTTAACCAAAACCATTGTTGGATGATTCAGTTATGATTTAAAGTCTCAAATTACTAGTTAATCGAACTATTACAACCCATTTAAATATTTACCTTTTATTTTTAAGAAAAATAAAAATCAAACGATAGGTCCTAATCACATAGCTATATCTCGATTTCTTCCAATTTATAATGTTGTCGATAAGTAATAATATTAAAAATTTCCTTCACAAACTTATTATAAAAAATATGACTAACTTAAAAAATAACACTTGGTTTTGGGGATTAAATTGCTTTTAAATTGTTTTGTTGGGAAAAGAGTTTTTGATAAAGATGAAATCCATTGGTTATAAAATATGTGACTTCTAAGAGATACACGTGTGGCATCTGGTCAACACATGTATTATCATCTATGACCATTTTATCCTAGAATGTGAACCCTGTTAAGCATTTTTTAATCGGAACCGAAATCGTCTCACATAAATTAACGATTGTGATTGCATCTAGAGATGTCAAATGGATCGAGGGACATGTTGGCTCGACTTGTTAAAATTCGACTCGTAGACGATTTGACGAACCCGAGCCGAGTAGGGGGTTCAATCCCACAAGTCGAGCTTGCTCGACTCGTCAAGCCCACAAGCCAAAGTTCACAAACCTGTGGGCCAGTAAAAAAATGTGCAAATTTACACAAAAAATAAAAAATAAAAAAAAATAAAATTTAAAAATCAGGAGCTCACTAGTGGCTTGTGAGCTTGGCTAGGCTCAGCCCACGAGCTAATGGCTCGTGAGTTTATGAGCTCGTAGGTCGAGCTCGGCTCTTTTTTCACAAGCCATGAGCTCAGCTGGGTCTCATGGCCCTTACTGCATCTAGTTTGAAAAATAGAGAACCAATGGAAGCAAAATTCCTTATTCTATTCGTCACATAGGTTTGAATAAAGAAAATAACAATGTCGTTCAATTTAGAGATGGATTGTGGTGGAAGAGAAAAATCTAACTATATATATCACATTATACTTATATAACACGTGAAATGTGCACAATATCAATAAATAAATGACCCTGGAATTTCAATTCAAAGTCTTTTACTTGTTTTGATAATATGTGAACCATCCATTTTGCTTGTTTTATTCAATTTCCGGTAACAAATTGTTAACTAAGCTTAGAAAATTGTTCACAAGCGTTTCACTTTTAGAAGTAGTTTTATTTAGAACTCAATGTTGTGTGTTGGATTTTACTATGAAAAATCAAAAAATATGTCGCACTAAACATTACTTTTTATGTCAAAAATTTCAACAATTAGGATCCGATTTGATAACATTAAATTTCATTGAAAATGTCATATTTGAGAAATTTGTTTTTTACTTTGGCTATTTGATACGAAAATGGAAATGAAATTCGAATTTCAAAGTACAAGCACTTAAAACATATTTTAGACCAGTTGAATGAAAATCTAATTTCTATAATTTTGGTAATTTTTTCTTTTTCAACTTACATAGACCTTGTTTGGGATTGATTTTGAGAATTGATTTTTTTACTGTTAGGAGAAAAGTGGGATCCACCTGTGAGAAAAGAAGTGAAATATGAAAGCTGGAATAGTGAAATAACGGTTAAAAAATCAATTTTTTTGGATTAAAAAATCACTCCCAAACATGCCCATAGAATTAGTTTGTCCTTCCTACCTTTATAGTTAAATGGACCCTTGTCGTATTTGTATTATCAGCCTGTTTGAGAGTGATTTTTTCTCAAAAAATTGATTTTTTGATCATTATTTCAATATTTCAACCGTCATATTTGAGTTCTTCTCTCACAGATGGATCCTACTTTTTTCTTAACGGTCAAAAAATCAATTCTCAGAATTACTCTCAAACAGGCTCTATATACTATCTATCTCAAAGATTTGGCAATTATTTGATTTCCCGAAAACCGTGCCCCTCACCGAAAAGAGCCAGGTAAATAAATTCTCTCTCATTAATATGACAACAAATTTTGGAAATTTCGAGACAAAATCTCTTTTCTATTAACAAGTAGGATAAAAAAGTATTCACCTCGAGATAATGCTTTGAAAATGACACAAGTGGAATAGTAATCAGTCCAAAAACTCTTCTTAATGACTAATTTACTATTCTTAACATTTTACGCCGAAATCTGAACTCAAGCCTACATTAATGATAATGAAACAGAAACAGAAACTGACAAAACAAAAGAAGGGAATTTACTACTCTTAACATTTCTTGGTATCGTTAGATAATCGAAAGAACGAAGTGCGAAATTAAATGATTTATTTAATTTCGACTATCATTTAATGTCATATTAACGTCGCCTAGATTGAGGTTATAATTCCAGTGGGGTTTCATAGTATTATTCTAAAGAGTAATGTTATTTAATCCTATTGAAATTACAATCTCAGTTTAGGTAGCCATAAATGATAGACTGAATGAAGTTGAAATTAAATGATTTATTTAATTCTTCATATCATTTAGCCCCTGTTTGATTCCCATTTTGGAGGGAAAATGTATTATGGAATAGTGATTTTGTGGAGAATGTGTGGTTAAAAAGTAAGAAAAGATTTTTGAGATACGTGTATTATTATTTTATAGAAGAATGTGTGGTTGAAAATGAAAAGTAAAAAAATGCATTCTTATAAAAATGGGGATCAAACAGGAGCTTAATGTCACATTAACACCACCTAGAATAAGGTTGTAACTCTAGTGAGGCTAAATATCATTATTCTAAAGAGTAATGTTATTTAGTCCTATTAGGGTTACAATCACAGTTTAGATGCTGTTAAATGATAAGTTGAATGAAATGACTTATTTAATTTCACTCACTTCAGTCTAAGTGGCACTAAACGATAGCGTGAATGAAATATGAAATTAAATTATTTATATAATTCTACCTATCATTTAATTCTACATTTATGCCACCCACACCAGGATTGTAATCCAGTGGGACTATAATTGAATGAAAAGTGAAATTAAATAATTTATTTAATTTCGTCTATTATGTAATGTTGCATTAATGCCACCTAAATTGGAGTCGTAACTCCAATAAGGCTACATAGCATTATTCTAAAGAGTAATGTTATTACTTATTTAGCCACGCTGAGGTTACAATCTCAATTTAGTTGACGTACAATGATAGGCTAAATGAAATGTGAAATAAAATAACTTATTTAATTCCACCTACCCCACTTTAAATTGTGCTAGATGATATACTGAATGAAATGTGAAATTAAATGATTTATTTAACTCCCCCCTATCATTCAATGTGACATTAAAGCCGTCTAAATTGAGGTTGTAGCGCCAACTAGATGATAGGCTGGATGTATATTAATTCCTTTTTCTTTTAATATTTCTTAAATAAACTTTTTTTTTTTAATGAATTGTTGCTTTTAAATAAAAAGATGGAATATCTTAGCGAGTGCAAGGGTTCAAGTCAGCTGGCTAAATGGAAGAGAAATCATACGTTGTTTAGCACATTAATTGGCCCAATCTGTTTGCTTTATTTGAGGCGATTTTGGATGGTAATTCTCAAAGGTACTGTGTGAATAAGAATTATACAATACCCTTATTTGAGCCCCAATTTTTGATTAAAAAAAATAATAATAAGAAGAAGAAGAAGAAGAAGAAGAAGAAAAAAATTCATGAATACTGTTTGGACCATATTTCAAGTACACATTTTTCAATAAAATAATATTATACATAAATTCAAAAAAAACTTCTTATTTTTTAATCACATATTTCTATCAATACATTGTTCAAAAACGCATTTTTTTGGGACAAAAATGAGGCTCAATAACTTTGTTTTATTTAATTAAAACTACTTGCCAACCAACAACCAACCAAGTTAAGTTTCATGGCAAGTGTGCATCACATAATCGACTAAATGAATAAATATTTTATCCTTTAATGTGCATAGATCTATAGTACATTACGTTTCAACTTGTTGCAGTCTTTCTCCTTTATCCGAACTTAAAGCTAGTTAACGGAAAACCATAACCCGGTCTGCGTCAAACACCTTGATTATAGATTTGTTAAACAAAGAAGAAATGTCCACACCTTAAACCATAATTTTAGAATTTTCTTCTCTACCACTTGTGTCATTTTTGTTGAAATTTCTTTTGTACTTGAGTAGAAAAATATCTAGGCAGAAACTGGTACAATTTTTGCTTCAGGACAAACTGCAATTATTAGCAAGGAGAAAAATAGTTACGTACCTAAAATTCGGATCACAATCACATTTCTACTGTACAGTTGGCGATATTCTTTGGTTAAATACCCTCTCTTCTTTCATATTTTCCAATCTCGACTTCCCCAGAGCTTCTGGTAGCGCTTCCAGTAGCACAGCCGAGACAGTGACTGATAAAGGCAGAGAAAGGGAGGGAGAATGGAGAAAGAAACCATGGAAATTAAAGAAAAAACAAGTTCTGCGAATGAAGAAGAAACTGAGATCAATTACAGAGGAATTAAGGCCATGCCTTTCATTATAGGTGAACACAATTTTATTTTTTATTTTTTATTTATTTTCAATCTTAGATCATTCTTTTAATTATTATTTTTCTGGGTTAACAGGGAATGAGACCTTTGAAAAGCTTGGAGCCATTGGCACCCTACACAACCTGCAAGTTTATTTAACTACTGTTTTCAACATGAAAAGAATTACTGCAACAACTCTCATTAATGTCTTCAATGGTACCACAAATTTTGCTACCTTACTTGGAGCTTATTTTTGTGATACTTATTTCGGTCGATACAACACGCTCGGATTTGGCTCGATTGCCTCCTTTCTGGTGAATCTAAGTTCTTGACTTTCTCTCCATAATTCGTTGAATTACAATTACTGAACTTAGAAATTGATTGCGTAAAATTTTCGATGAAGGGATTGCTGCTGATAACTTTTACAGCAGTTTTTAAAAAGTTACATCCACCCCATTGTGGAGAAGACGATAGTCGATGTATAGGACCGACGCCGGGCCAAATGGCCTTTTTGTTAACTGGTTTCGTGTTCATGATAATCGGGGCGGGCTCGATTAGGCCATGTAACTTGGCATTTGGAGCTGATCAGTTCAATCCCAATACAGAATCAGGAAAGAGAGGAATTGACAGTTTCTTCAACTGGTATTTCTTCACTTTAACTTTTGCTCAGATGGTATCAGTTACACTGGTGGTTTATGTTCAATCTGATGTGAGTTGGCCTATTGGATTGGCAATTCCTACTATTTTTATGCTCGTTTCGTGTTTTCTCTTCTTCATCGGCACGAAAATTTATGTGAGGGTGAAGCCCGAGGGAAGCCCGTTGACGAGTATAGCCCGAGTACTTGTGGTTGCCTGCCGGAAGAGGCGACTGAAATTGGCCGAGCAGCAGCCGTGGCGGCACCTCTTCAACTATACTCCATTGAAGTCTATCAATTCTAAGCTTCCTTATACACAGCAATTCAGGTATCTTGAGTCGAATCTCTCTTTTTTAAAACAAATACGTGACATTTTCCATTTTATTAATAATGTAACAAAAAGCATAATACAGACCTAAGGTAGGGGATCGACCTCACCATCTGTTTATCTTTCATAATTGAAACAAAAGTAAAGTACGAATTTATTCGATGAAATGGTCATATAATGTACTCAGTTTAATGCACAAGGACGATGGATCCGAGGTTGGTTAGTATATTCGGGATTTAGTTTACAAGAACTAATCATGTTCTAAATTTGAGCTTCTAACGCGATAAAAATTGATAAGCTTTCAACGAGTAACTTTTGATCAACTTTGTTAAGAATGCTAGTTTAAGCTCTCGTCTATTGACTAATACTTTAATCTTTAACCTATGAGGAATTTCTCATTTAGAGTTTGTTTGGTGGAAATTTTAATCCAATTAAAATCAATTTTTAATTATTATTTTACTATTTCAACACTCTTTTGAATTTTTCTCTCACAGATAAAATTCACTTTATCTTTAACGGTCAAAAAATCATTTAACAAAATTCCTACCAAACAAGCACTTAGCCCCGTTTGTTTTTTATTTTTGGAAAAATGAGAATGAAAAATATAGTCGTTACTTGTCCCACACAATATATAAAAATTTAAATTTAGTAGCTTGATGTTATGGATAACGATCATATTTTTCATTTTAATGAAAAAAGAATGGGAACCAAACAGGGGCTAAATATGTCCTCACATGATAGTAATTTTTTTGAGAAACTAAAAATTCTTTGTTCATTTGAGATTGGGGCTTAATATGTCCTCACGGGATGGTAATTTTTTTGAGAAACTTAAAATTCTTTGTTCATTTGAGTTTTAGGCCTGTTTGTTTTTCATTTTTTGTCCATTAAAATGAAAAATATGATTGTTATCCATCACATGAAGTCACTATATTTGATTTTTTATCTTTTGTGTGAGGATGTAATGGCTATATGTTTTATTCTCATTTTTACATTAATGTGTACCAAATGGGGTCTTAGATTTTTATTGTTTGTTTGAGCTGATGAACTCTAATAGCATAGATTAATATTTTCAAGTAAAATAGTTCAAATTTTATATAATTTATTAGTTGATATTTTTATCTTAATACGAAGTGAAATTATTTTCTAATGGTGGGACCCGAAAGAAAAAAAGAGAACGAAGGGGAGGCTCTTGACCTCTGGAGTCAACTTTTGTTATATGGACTGTTTACTGGCTTCGACTGTCATTTTATTGTAGATGTGACATTTAATTTACATGCCCAACCTGCGACGGCAATCACGCTTTTATTGCTTTCCAAATAAAAGTCTACAACCCCCCGTCCCCCCCTCAACACCCCCCACATCAATAATTTCAATTTTTTCTACGGAATGAGAAAAAGGCTGACTAGATTTAAATAAGTGGGTAGGAATCGATTGATGATTATACCCTTATTTTTAGCTAAAATATATTAAAAAAATAAAAAAAATTTATCAAATAAAAAATAATAATAGAAAGGAAGGAAGGAAGGAAGGAAGGGAATAGAACACTAGCAAAACACCACCACCTACCATTGCCCAAACGCCCTCCACGGCACCCCACCCCTCTTTTATCCTTCAAAAGTGCGTTGTTAACAATCAAATGGATGGATTCATTTGAGATCAATGTCTTTATAAAGTTAAAAGGCTCGGGATAGTGCTATCAAGAAAGATAAGACTAAAGTTACCGCAACAAAGTCAATGGGTTGAAAACTAATGATGCAAGCTTACCAGATGTTTGCACGGTAAGGATTGATAGAGTGATAGATTTTTCTTGATTTTATGGGTTGTGATGCATGTCGGTCTTTGTTGGTGGAGCGATTTAGTGATTTTTCTGATTAATTTATTAATAAACGAGACCTCAACCGACTAATTAGTTATACAGAGGCACCCCTCCATGGTCTACTTATAGGAACTATAGCCTTTTAGGGCGTAGATGTTCGAGGCAATAACACATTTGTAATGCCTTCAGACGTTCTTGATTGTACGCACCCTACACTCTCGAGAAATTCCTAGTAAGCGCAGTTTATCAACTCACACTACGTCCCTACGCTACCTATAGAAAATAAAAAACAAACCTTTTTACTAGTGTTTGTTTACATTAGTCCGGTGTAAGATTCTTAATTCTATTCAATTCTATAAAAATACAAGATATTTGACAATGAGGTATCTGGTTTGTGATCTTCCAACAAGTTCAAGAGATAAAATTTCTATGCATTTACTAATCTAAGTCGTCATATATTATCAGATTTCTTGACAGAGCTGCAATCATAACTCCAGAAGACCAAATCAAACCAGATGGATCAGTTGCCAATCCTTGGAGACTCTGCAGCATGCAGCAAGTAGAAGAAGTAAAATGTGTACTGCGTGTAATTCCCATATGGGCTGCAGCCATTCTATACCATGTTGGTGAAAAACAGCAATACTTAGTCTTCCAAGCAATGCAATCCAACAGGCACCTTGGCAGTACAAGTTTTCAAATCCCACCAGCAACTTATGGTATATTCTCCATGTTAAGTCTCAGCATTTGGGTACCTATATACGACCGACTCGTGGTCCCGTTTCTCCGAAGGGTTACGAAGAAAGAAGGTGGTATAACCGTCCTTCAACGAATGGGAATCGGGATTTTTTTGACAATACTCGAGTCTATCGTGGCCGGCTTGGTCGAACAACATCGACGAAATTTGGCGATAACTAGGCCAACCCCTGGAATTCATTCAAAACGAGGGGACGTTTCGCCAATGTCGGCACTATGGTTGGTTCCACAACTATCTTTAGCAGGACTAGCAGAGGCATTTGCAGCAATTGGGCAAGTTGAATTTTTCTATAAACAGTTCCCAGAAAATATGAGAAGTATTGCTGGATCATTTTTCTTTTGTGGGATGGCTGCAGCAAGTTATTTGAATGGTTTCTTAATTGCATTAGTGCACAGAACAACTGAAGGATCATCAACTGGAAATTGGCTACCTGAAGATCTCAACAAAGGAAGATTGGATTATTTTTACTACCTTATTGCTGTTTTGTGTGGCTTAAATTTGTGCTACTTTCTAGTTTGTGCCAAGTGGTATAGGTACAAGGGGACTGGAAGTAGCATTGCTGCTGTTGAAATGGAGGCAACAGAAATTGACAAAGCTTTAGTCTAAGGACTAGATTAACTCGTTCAATAAGATATGTTGTACCGCATTGGACGGACGGTATTAGAAATGTGTTAGAGTACACGAAACATTAGCAAATAATTTATGTTTGTAGACTAGTTTTATGATAGGGAGCATCATAAATTATGTTTCTTATGCTATCTATTGAGATAAGTAACAATAGTTAGCATTAAATATGATTATGTGAAGAAAGTATGCATTAGATGTGCAGAATGTTGTAATGTAATCAGGATGTTTCCAGTAACAAAAACTCTTACACTGATGCCTACGGTCGGTCCAATAGATCAAGCACCAAGTCAAATAAAGAGAAAAAGGTAATTCATATAGCTGACGCTAATTGAGAGTAAGACTTCATTTGTTTACGGGGTCATTTGGGATTCTTGTTTATGTTAAGCACATTTTAAAATAAGAAAGCCGGGAGAGGAGGTGCTAAACTAGGCTGTGGCTCAATACAAAAATGTAGAAATGTGTTAAGTTCACGAAATGCACGGGCTCACCCAGCACCNACTGAGATGGGGAGGAGCAATTTGGGCTACTGAAAAGATGATACTATCCTTTTTACACATCTAACTTGATACATTATTATGTAATCTTCATCAAAACTACCTATCATTTTGGCTTTTGCCCCATTCTTCTTTCATCATAGTTTTCTTGATGGAACTGTGCGGGCAGAGAAAAATTAAGGGGTGCTATACGTGGGTATTGTTAGCATTGGAAGTCTTATAATTTATTCGTGTCAAATGTGTTGATAATGTGAAGAAATAAGCATGTGAAACCTGATCGTTTGAAAAACTTCTCTTAGGATCATTGAGCCAAGAAAGCTCGACTTCCTACTCTAACAGTACCAACCAAGAAATAGGGTTTGCAATTGGCCGAGTTTGGGGCAGGGTGAGCTCCCTTGCCCCTCGCCCCATCGGGCATTTTTCACCACGTACCCACCCTATTACAGGATTTAAGGCAAGGCGGGACGATTGCCTCGTTTACATATCTGTTTAATTTTTTTTCTATATATAGTTTTTTATAATTCATTTTGTTGTCCACATTCATCCAAGTGAGACAATAATATAGTTATTAAGTTTTTTGATTAATTTATTTATTTTTAATAGTTAAATATTCGAAAATAATTAATAAACTAAAGTTTTAATTGTTTATCATATTTCTTGAATAATCTTAGTTGCGAATTAATGAAATTTCATAGAATTTTTCCATTTAAAATATTGAATTCTTTAAATTAAAAACAATGGGGCAAGGTACTTATTATCCGTACTCGCTCGGGGGTGAAATTCTCCGTCCCATACCTAACCCTATTACTCAATTAAGCGGGTAATCCTCACCTCGATAGAGATGGGACCGCGGGTATCAAGTTTGACCAGTATTTTTTGACATTCCTACCCAAAAAAAAGAGTAGTTCAAATACTTGAGTTGATCATCCCATTTCAAATGGTAGTGATGAGAATTTAGATTGGACTTTGACGCCATCAAATGTGAACTCGTATACCATTTTTTTGACTTTAGGTCATGTCTAGAGAAAATATCCGAAATGTGAACTTGCTAAAGTCCAATCATTGAATGTTAATTGATTTGATTGATGAATTTAATTATGAAATGACTGGTAATACAATTTGATATTAAGTTGATAAAGTTGCACCACTTACTAATCAAAGTAAAACCTCACGATATTGACGGTGCTAAATTAGTGCAAAACTAACAAACTGCATTATAATTCGACCTCAACCAAGTGTCCCAGTAAATATATAGCATCTAGAAGCACCGTTTTTCGGTCGACTGTGTGTGAATGAGGGCATGAAAACTAACAAACTGCACTATAATTCGACCTCAACCAAGTGTCCCCGTAAATATATAGCATCTAGAAGCACCGTTTTTCGGTCAACTGTGTGTGAATGAGGGCATGATCCCGATTTGGTTTAAATCAAAATCATCAATTAATTTTAGCCACACATAACCATACATTTCATTAATTTTTATTAAAATCTAATAAAAATTTAATTTTAATCCCCACCCGACAAATACTTAATAAGTTAGTTTCTAATAACAACTCGATCCATTTTCCCCCTAAACATATCTTGCTTTGAACAATTGTTACTTTCAGGACAAGCAAATTTCTATGTTTCAATGATAATTGATTCTTATTTTCTTAGTCTACTAAAAGTAAATGATTAATTGACACTTGCATTATTAAATCAAAAGTTGTTACGTGCGTAGACCAGTTTATACTCTATCGAGGCAAATTCGCTTTTGTATGCTTAATCCAGTGGGCCCTCTTCTCCTCAATCACAAGCAAATGGTATTTGAGTCGGTCGTATAGATCAGTGTTCTAGAAAGTAGCAGAGGATGGGGCTTCACATAATCACATGTGGTAAAAGATGGTCAACTTTAATTTTTTTTTTTCTTTTGTCTTTTTTAGGTTAAATAAATAAATTAAATAATAATTATTATTATTCATGGTTATTGAATAATTAAAATAAGGGTTTCATTTAAAAATATAACTGATCTTCAATGGTTAAATTAATATTAAAAAGAGAAAAAAAAAATTTACTTACAGACGCGTAAAACTTGTTATTATCATTCTGCCATGGACCTTTTAAAACTTTGCTTATGATAATGGAAAATAATGGCTGCTACCCACAATCAAATAAAATTAAGCTTAACCAATTAAAAGTTACTTGTATTCTGAAGATATATTTTGCACGTAATGATAATTATAAGTCGGAAATTTCTAATTATCTAGTGAAAATGACATAAACTTAAAAGATTAATTTAAATATAGCAACTTATTATAAAAAAATATGACTAAAAACTCTTTACAATTACCAAGTTGTCGATGATGCTAGAAAGCAAGAGTATCGATCATTGTGACATTAATAAATTTCAAAATCATCATTTAAATAATTTTTTTAATGCCATTAAGTTTGAAATAATTACATTAATATAAAACTAAATTAAAAATCCTGTATGTCACCCTCCACTGAGGACCAAATGATTATCTTCTACACTACACGAAACCATGTATCGTGTTTCCTTTAATTAAATCGTTGGGATGACAACGACTTACCCTAACAAAAAATATTATAACACTTAGTTGTTACGGAAGCTTCCTCAAAAAATTTTCAAACGGTGGTTTTTCAGGCTCAGTCCAACATACCTTTCTCAACCAACAACCAGTTCAATTGGCTCCAAACCACAACCAATTGATTCACCTTGGTTGCTATGCAATCTTATCCACGTAGGATAAGAAGGGATGATGATTTATGGCCACAAAGGTTAGAAGAAGACACCACAAAGGTATACTATGAAAGAATCACCAATTACACACGTTATACCAGCGTTCTGAACACTTTTTTCTCACACAAAAGGGGGGCAGCCGGGATTCACTAGTTCTTCTTTCAAAATCACACAAAACATCATATCAAAGTGGCTAGGGTTATAACCAAATATATACTCTAGGGTTAGGTTTTAAGTTGGGCCATTAAAGGGGTAAACGGGCCAAGATTCAAGCCATCCATGAGGAATACAATTGGGCCGGGTGTAACTCATGAACTTAGTTGTTGGACTTATTTCATTCATCGGCCTATGCCTATGAAATAATATTAACCCACGTTAATATCATAATTCGAGATTTATTGAGTATCAAAACCCAACATTAGTTTTGGGATTAAATCGCTTAAATTGTTTTGTTGGGAAAAGAGTTTTTGATAAAGACGACTTTATTTAAGGTGAACATGACAGGTGTCTCGTGGTGTAAAAATTAACGTTGTTTGGTCCATGCTAGAGATTAACGGTGACATATAGGAATTTTACATCTTTTCACATCCTTCAAAGCGATGAAGGAACTTCACATCCCTCGTTGACTACTGCTTTTCGAGATGTTGAGGGCATGATCCAACATCTCGTTGAAAAATGCCTCCGAGGCGACTTATTGAAGAAGTACCTTCTTGCTCTGAGATGATGCAAAGGTACACAACCCTTAGCCACACTTGATGGACCTCAAGTTTTTGAGGCAGTCGTTGCTGATTCTGAGATGCCTTATGATAGATGTATTCTGATGGCATGGAATCACGAGATATGATTGATAGGATGTATTTTACAGTGACAATTGGTGGTTAAATTTTTTCTTTCATCTAGGGTAGTGTGCGGATCACAAATCTATTGATTCCTTAGATGAAACATTATGACGCCATTGGGCCTAACTCCTATAAGTCATTGTGATGAGGTCACGTGTCAAACATTCAGAAAGAGTCAGTTACGTTCCTTTTGTTTAGGCCCCGGAAAAAAAATCGAAAAATCAATCAAATCAAACTGACTCAGATCGATTAGATACAAGTAATTGGTTTAATTAGTTTTCTTTTAAATAAAATCATGGTGGGTTGGTTTAGTCAATGTTTGAAATCTCAAACCGTTGGTTAATGAAACCAACCCAATCCCACTTATATGTTTACTTTTTTTTTTTTTTTTAATTTAAGAAAAAGAAAAATCAAAAGATAAGCTACAATCTCATACCTATATCTTGATTTCCCTTAATCCATCATGTTGTTGATAAGTAATAGCATCGAAAATTTTCTTTCACATGCTTATTATGTTATACTCAGCAATTTTTTCCTACTCAAACAATTAGGCAACATAATACATAAAAAAAACGACAAAATTTTTAAGTTTTCTGTTGATCATCTCTATTAACCTAATTTTATTTATTAGTCAATAGTTTTTGCAATATTAAATTATTTGTTTATTTTAGTTCTTATAATTTAAGTGGGCACAAAACTAGGACAATTTTTTTTTTTTTTTTTTAAAAAAAATCAATTTGGATTAGGAGTCCAAAACAACTAACCGATGGGTTGAAATTTGTCCAACCGACTAATTTGATTTTGGTTTCGAGTTGGAGTTGAAACCAACCTAAACCGAATCGCGCCCAAACCTACCTTTGTTTACTTATGGTCATTTTGAAGGAATTGCAACTTTGGTAAAATTTCTCTCTATAAAACCCGATTCCCTCATTTCCTTCTACATGAATCTTATACTACCCTTTTGACTAACTTGAGTTTTTGAGAGTGTACAATCACGACTCTCCTACCCTTCTTATGTCTCGAGAGGCTTTGGTCTTGCAAGTGTGTTCTAAGTTCTCAGGGAACGAATGCTTGGAGAGAAGTAGTGACAAGATTTGTCAACTCGTTGGATCCAAATCGATTTGGAGGTCTACATCTTAAGAATCTCCTATGAACTTAAACGTCTAATGGAAAACTACAATG